GCACATTTGCAAGCAGCTGGAATCGGAAGCAGAGCCTGGACTCAGACCCAGACACCCCCCCCCCCATGTGGAATGTGGCCACCCCCGGCAGCGTCTTACCCACGCCCCAATGCCCGCGCCCGTGGTGAAAGCTTTATCCGCCCTGATGCCCGTGGTGCCCTGGTGCCCAGTGTCCCAGCATTTCCGGTGTGGCCTCCCCTCACCATGCCCCCTCCCCCCCCCTTTAGTATACAGCTGAAAGTCCAAATCCAGCTCTTTGCAGGAGGGGCAGAATCCTGAGCACTTTAAAATCCGAAAATGTGAAAGGCATTCCTGTTACATTAGAGTGACGTCACAGAGGCAGGCTCCAGGACTGGCTGTCTCAGGCTGATGAGTGTGTGAGTGACGTGTTGATTGGCACCTGCTGTGATAGACATGCGCACACTCTTTGTAGCTTTTAACTAAAAGCAAAGCGATGTGGGAGTTTCACTACAGATGTGGTTTATCAAGCACTACCTGGGGTCTCAGAGATAAGCACTGGAGGGCCCGGTTAGATCCTGCTGTGGGTGTGAGCTATTGTCCCTACCCCACTGCTACACCTGGGCTGCACGTGTGGAAGAGGGGCTGCCGTCCGATCCACTGAGATGACACTTCACGCGGGTGGTTCCGCGGTACGTGAGAGTGGACGAGGCAGTGACAAGGACACTGGGACCCATGAAGGGCACCTTGGCAGCTGCTGCCGTGCCCCCCGGGGACAGGGCTGATGTGCCCCAGCCCCCGCTGTTTCCCACTCTGGGGTCTTTTCTGGGCCTCACCTTCTCCATCTGCGTGACGAGCAGGGTGGACGTCAGTGTGCACCGAGCTGGGATGTTCTCCCCCTGCCTGGGTTCATTTCCAGCCAGAATGAGGAGTAGCTGAGCCGTAGCTTCCCCAGTGGGTTTACCTGATCTAAATCGTGTTGTGTGAGCGCTTTGATGAATCGGTTTTTCTCGTGAATCTGTTTATGAAGCACCCTTGTGGAAGGGGCTGACCCAGACGGCAGGAAAACAGCGAGATGAGCCCCTCCCTCCCAGAGCAGATGGACAAATGAAAAAGAAATAACAAGACAGAGGCCTGTAGAAGATGGAGTTGGGAGATGAAAGAGGGAAGGGCGACCTTGAGATTGTTGGAGGAGGGAGTAATCAGGGAAGCTTCACGGCAGAGGTGAGACATGAGCTGGGTTTTGAGGGTTAATTAGGAGTTCTCCAAGGAGGCATTCCCAGCGTGGAGTAGTATATGCATAGCACAGGAAAAAAAAATTGTCAGTTCCTGGAATAGCAAGGTGTTTGGAATGAATGTGTGGAAGCTCTAGCTCATGACAGATGCTTGAGATGCCGTATTACTAGCATTGCAAATATTCAAATATGGCATATTTTGTAACTTACAGTTTTTGGTTAGTAATTAACCATCTGGCCATCAGTAAAATATACCAATTTTTGGTTTTAAATATCATTGTCACCAGGATGTATTAGATAGAACCCAGTGAAGCTTGATTCAGATTTGTTACCACTTAAAAACTTTCATTTTTATCCATATTGGGTTAATGGGAATTAAGAATTTTTATTACTATGGAATTTATTCTATAAAACTAGAATTCTTCACCAAATATGTAAGGTTTCTAAAAAGTTTCTCTGAATGAATGATTTATCTCCAGTAAATCATGCTACCTCTTGGGGCTTTAAATTCTCACATAGAGCGTAAGGGACTTGGACTGAGTTTGTTTATTTAAAGATTTATTTATTTATTTGAGAGGCAGAGTTGGAAACCGTCTGTCTGCTGGTTCACTCCCTAAGTGGCCACAACGGCTAGGGCTGGGCCACGCCATACCCGGGAGCTTCATCCGGGTATCCCACCTGGGTGGCAGGGGCCCAAGCATTTGGGCCATCTTCTGCTGCTTTCTCAGTGCATTATCAGGGAGCTGGATTGAAAGTGGAGCAGCTGGGACTTGAACCAGCACCCATATGAGATGCCTGTGTCACAGGCAGTGGTCCTTGGACTGCCACCCCAGGGCTGGCATCGTGGTGCACTGGGTTTGTCATGTGATGCTGGCATCCCATATGAGCGCAGGTTCGGATCCTGGCCATGCCATTTCCAATCCGGCTCCCTGCTGATGTGTCCAGGAAGGCAGCAGAAGGTGGCCCGAGTCTCTGGGCCCTTGCACCCAAGTGGGAGACTCGAATGCCCAGCCATTGTGGCCATTTGGAGTGGGAATCAGCAGCCAGAAGATTGATCAATTCTCTTTCTCTCTCTTCTCTCTCTATCTCTCTCTCTCTCTCTCTCTCTCTCTCTCTGTAACTCTGCCTTTCAAGGAAACAATCTTTTAAAAAGAAAAAAGTCTGCTCCAGCTCTGATATTCTGCAATCCTACAAGTGAAAGTCATGTCTACCCTGCCTCGTTCGACAGGTGAGCTCTGCAGCGTGAGTCACTGTGGTCCTCAAACCTCTCCTAGCAGCAGTGAATGCCAGTGAAAGCCCAGTGCTGATTGATCGCCGCGTAACAGGGCACGTGTTTCAGCCGCTTTATTAAGTACTTTACTGCTTTATCCCATTAAGTACTTAGAATGGCCCTGCAATGGCAGATGGTATTTCTGTTGTACAGTTGAAGAGACCGAGGCTTGTCCAACCCAAATACTGACTGAGCTCACGCAGGTGGTTGTGGGGAAGCTGGGGTTTGGGCCGCAGTGTTAGTGCCCTGGCTCCGGAGTCTTTGATCTTTATCGAGGACTGGGAGCCCACAGCACCTCAGTGTTGCCACAGTGTGTGCAGGTTGAGCAGCCCAGTCCAAAAAAGCACCATGCCGGTGCTCAAAAAGTTTGAGTTTGGATTTTCAGATTAGGGGGTGCTTAATAGTAAAATTTGTGCAAATATTCCAGAATCTTTAAAACTCCACGATCTGAAATACTTCTGGTCAAATGCCTTCAGACAAGGGCTACTCTCCTTGTTTCTTTTGCACATCTCAGAGGGGAGGTAATGCTTTATAGAAAGATACATCTCACTTTTGGAAGCAGTTATTTTATACTTTAAAAAGTGATTTATTTTATTTATTTGAAGGAAAGCTCCATCTTCCATGGTTCACTCTGCAAATGGCTACCATGGCTTGGGGCTATGCCAGGCTGAAGCCAGGAGCCCAGAGCACCCATCCAGGTTTCCCACGTCGGGGCCAGGGACCAAAGTGCTGCCTTCCCAGGCCCATTAGCAGAGAGCTGGATCAGAACTGGAGCAACCAGGACGAGAATTGGTGTCCAGTATGGGATAATGATGTCATAGGCTGCGACTTAACCTGCTGTGCACAGCACTGGTCCCTACATTTTCTTTCTTTGTTTCTTGTTTTTGCTTAAAATGCAGCATTAAAAAAAATCTTTAAAATAGGATTAAAAACTGTATGATACATTCAGGCCTGCAGGGTCTCTTGTCCTGGCCTGTGGTGCTCTGGGGGCCCACGTGCTGGAGGGCTGGGCTCCCCATACCCCAGGGGAATGAGGCACCCAGCCACAGTGACCATCCACGGGGCTCCGCTGCAGAGGCTCTGGCTAGTGGCCCCACAGGGTGCCTGGGGTAGGGCACCCCCTCCATGGCATCCTTGAACATGGTGTCAGGTGAGGCTCAAAGGAACTGGAAGGACGCGAGGGCAGCACTGGCCCCTACAACAACCCTGGCTCCTGCCCACCTCCGCTGAAGCCAGCTCTGGCCCCCGAATGCCCGTGACCTCGGAGCCCAGCTGGGCTAATCGTGGTGACCAGGCAGCTCCCTCCCACAGGCCGGATGTGAGCAGAGGTGGTGGCTGCACTTGGCATCTCTTCCATGTGCAGTCCAAGAGGATGGCCCCTACATCCTTACAATGGGAAAAAGAAAGGAGGCGTGTTCTGGGATGTTGACAAATGTTAATAGACTGGTGGGCAGCGCGTCAAACGCAAGAACAGGACCTTATTCTCCAGGAAATGAGAGGACCCCGACACCTGCTGGCTCGTCACTGCGGCAGCCCTGGCCTTGGCCTCAGCCCACTTGCATTTGGACTGTGCCACGCAGTCCCCAAGGGCTGTTCAGGACGGGCCAGGTCTCGCCGGGCTCTTGGCTTGTCCCTCTGCCTGGGGGATCATTCCCCAACTTAGTCCATGTCTGCGCCGCCTTCGCTGTGAGACAGCCGCTTGGCACTCGCCGTCTCAGCCCTGGTTGTGAGGCTGCACCGCGTGTCTCCCTCTGGGAGAGTTGTCTTGTTTACCTGTTTGTTTTGACTGCTTTTCCCCATTGAAATGAAACTCAGGGGATCTGGTACTTCCTTATTTACTGATCTGTTTCCAACACCTGGAGCAGCGGCTGGGTCACAGTAGCCTTGCTCGCTCTCGCTCTCTCTCTTTTCTATCACCTATGTCTGATATATATCTATATCTGTTTGTTTTTCTCACTCTTTTCTCCCTTTCTCCCCTCTCCATCAATCCGTCCATCTACCTGCCAGATGGCTTAGCCATGTAAGTTACGGGAAATCTACTTCTCTCATTAGAATGTGGGAAGATCGACCAGTGCCGTGGCTCACTAGGCTGATCCTCCGCCTGTGGAGCCGGCACCCTGGGTTCTAGTCCCGGTTGGGGTGCCGGTTCCGTCCCGGTTGCTCCTCTTCCAGGCCAGCTCTCTGCTGTGGCCCGGGAGTGCAGTGGAGGATGGCCCAAGTGCTTGGGCCCTGCACCCCATGGGAGACCAGGAGGAAGCACCTGGCTCCTGGCTTCAGATCGGTGCAGTGCGTCAGCTGTGATGGCCATTTGGGGGGTGAACCAACGGAAGGAAGACCTTTCTCTCTCTCTCTCTCTCTCTCTCTCACTGTCTTAACTCCACCTGTTAAAAAAAAAAATGTGGGAAGATCCTTATTCCTCTGATTGCTCCTTTACAGTCTCCCTTCCTGTACAAGCTCAGAAGTGCAGCTTTCATTATAGCAGCTTTAATTTTGAAAGCCTGCTGCTCACTCCCTGTGATTTTGCCTCCCTCTGCTAGGGTCGTGCGTGCGCGTGGATGACAGACCAGCCTCCTCCGCCAGCTGATTGTGGGTGAATGAGAGGTTACACTGAGTGTCGTCACACTGCCTCCATGGGTAAGTGTATCTCAGAGACTCCAACAGGGTGTGTCAGTCCGTGTCTTTGCTTAACTGACTTGGTGCCCTGTAGCTCTGTTAATGGCTCTTTGTATGTGGGTCTGCATGGGGCAAGCGGAGTGGACTTCTCAGGCGCCGGCTGCTGAGGTCCCTGCAGGTGCAGGGCTCCGGGCCTGTGCAGGCTGTGGCACGGGCACTTGGTTTGCTGTGCTGGCTGACGCACTCAATGTGGGATGCTCTGATGCAGGTCCTCTCTGGGACCTTGGGTGGAGAAGCCTTCGTTTGCATCTCTGTGGGTGTCATGAGCACACACACTAGGACCGCCTGCTTCAGGACCAGTGCAGACGACAAGGGAACTTCAAAAGCTTCCTGGAAAGTGGAATTAGAAGATAAGTTTAGTTTGGTGCAAAGATTTTTTAAAATCCGCTTGTAGTTTTTCCCAGTATGCATTTTCCATGAGCTTTCTGAAGACCTTCTGTATGCATGAATTTCAAAAAAAAAATTTTGCACCCAAATAACTTTAATTTCATTTTCTGTGAGCCCTTTGAAGTCATACCTGATGTGTAGTTTCCAGTTGGGGTTGTAAGGTCAGGTGAACTCAGGAGACCCGGATGTGGAGCACCTCAGAGCCAAAAGTGGGTTCCAGCGACGACTGTCAGGCCAAGGTGCTGACTGACAGATGCGCTGGGTTCAGGTGAGGGCTTCACACCGGGAGGCTGCCCAGCGCCCGGCAGTGTTTGTCACGCTTGCAGGTGCGACCCGGGAGCCCGCAGAGTCTGTGGGGTGTGCAGGCGTTTGCTGAAGCACCTGCACCTGAATGCAAGCTTGCCCAGCAACACTGGCCCCCTCTTTCCTGGGTGCATAGCTTTGTGCCCATTGGGTCTCATCCCGAGGTCCGTTCAAAAGCCTGCCTCCTGCTGGTGCCACCTCCCCTGTCTTCCCCTCTGCAGAGGGCTGCTCCCTTTCTCACCTGGTACCGGCTCGCTCTCCATCACGGCCGTCCTGGCCTCGGAAGTTCCAGAAGAGAGGTACCCTTGACCTTTATCTCACTCATCACCTCTCTCCAAGGCCACAATCCCATCTGGTGCACAGCAGATACTTCTCAACTAAATGCATGAGTTTCACAGTCCGATGAGGCTTCTTGGGTAAACTGCTGAGTGTCATAGGTGGGAAGTTTGCTCTCTCTGGAGGAGATTTTGAACAGTTTGTCTATTTAGTTGTGTTCCTGAGAGCATGAGTTGTTCCTCACAGAGTCGTTGAGTTTAGCTTTGTAAATAGGAGGTTGTCTAACATTTCTGGGTTCATTTGCAAATATAGTTTTTGTTTGTGTTAACTGATCCCTTTTTATCATCTGCATGGAAATCATCAGAAGGAGTATCTAATTAGCCTTGAAGAGGTGTTTAACGAACACTTGGATGAGGCTCAAAATCTCTACTGAGTTAAGCATTTGGCCTAGTGGTTAAGATGCTACCAGGGCCACCGGCATCCCACATTGGAGTCCTGGGTTCCAGTAGTGGCTCCACTTCCCGTCCTAGCTTCCTGCTAATGCAGACCCTGGGAGGCAGCAGTGGGGGCCCGAGTCGTTGGGTCTCTGCCACCTACATGGGAAGCCTGGATTGAATTCCTGGCTCTGGGCTCTAGCGTGGCCCAGCCCTGGCTGATGCAGGGATTAAGGGAATGAACTAGCAGATGGGAGAGATCTTTCTGTCTATCTCTATTTCTGCCTCAAATAAAGACAAAACAAACCACTACTGAAATACGCTTCCTTGGAAAGCCTGAAGCCTGGATTTATTCCAGTTAGACTGACTGAGTTTTGTGAATTCTGCTTCTGGTGTTTCCTGACTGGGTGACTATGAGTAGGTTATTTAATCTCTTGGTGCCTCAGTTTTTCCTTTGGTAAAATGGGGATTATAAAATATTTTCTTCATGCAATGACTGTGATTAAGTGTGGTAATGTATGTGCTACATATATTTCTGTATTTGGCATATGTTCTTATTTTTATATATTCACTATATCAACTGGGTTTAAGCACGGTGTGTGTGTGTATCATGGTGTGTGTGTGTAGCATGGTGTGGTGTGTGAGAACCATTCATCAAATGGTGATACAAATTCGAGGATTTTTTTTTTCCTTCCTTTCAATGGAGAATTTGTTTTGAGTTGAATAGAGCAGTTCAGGTCTGAGCTCATCTGAAACAGTAGATTTGCTCAGGGGCTGCCATTTGTGTCGCTGGCATCCTTTTTTTTTTTTTTTTTTAAGATGTATTTATTTACTTGAAAGAGTTACACACAGAGAGAAGGAGAGGCAGAGAGAGAGAGAGAGAGAGGTCTTCCATCTGCTGGTTCACTCCCCAGTTGGCTGCAATGGCCAGAGCTGTGTCAATCCAAAGCCAGGAGCCAGGAGCTTCTTCCAGGTCTCCCGTGCAGGTGCAGGGGCCCAAAGACTTGTGCCATCCTCTACTGCTTTCCCAGGCCACAGCAGTGTGGAGAGCTGGATCCAACAGAGAGCTGGATTGGAAGTGGAGCAGCCAGGACTTGAACAGGCGCCCATATGGGAAGCTGGCATTGCAGGCAGTGGCTTCAGCTGCTACACCACAGAGCCAGCCCTATCACTGCATATCTTGTTATCAGAGTGCTAGTTTGAGTCCTGGCTGCTCCACCTCCAATCGAGCTCCCTGCTGATGGCCTGAGAAAAGCAATGGGAGACGACCCAAGTGCATGGGCCCCAGGCCATAGCAGAGAGCTGGATTGGAAATGGAGCAGTGGGGACTTGAACTGGCGCACATATGGGATGCTGGCACTGCAGGTGGCACCTTTACCTGCTACGCCACAGTGCCGGCCCAAAGATACCATTTTCTGTATGAATAACAACACTGATACTCATTGGCATCAGGCAGACTTGGTTTAAATTTTTTAGTTATACTGGTTTTGTGAGCTTTAGCAAATTACTTAACTTCACTTGGCCTTTGTTTCCTCATCTGCAAAACAACGATAATCATACAAATCAAAGATGAGCTCTGTGGGACGAAACAAGGCACAGGCCACACCCCGGCCCCCGGCCCACCGGCAGACTTTGGCGCTGAGTAACCTAAGTGTCCTCCTTCCCTTCCTCCAGCCCGCAGATTTCAGATGCCCACGGATGTCCAGGGAGGCTGATCAAGGCTGGGGATGTGTGTGAGGGCGTCCTATCAATAAAGATGGAGGCGGTGGAATGTGTAGTTTTAGCAAGCAGGAAACTTGGTGGGGACGTGTGTGTGAGGATGAGGACGATACTCGATCTGCCTCTGGGCAGTAGGGGAGGCTGCTTTGGGTTTCATGAGAAGAAGGACTTCGTTAGGAGGTTGTCAGAAAAGTGGGTGGGTGACCCCGTGCAGCAGTGAACGTCTCAGGGCTGAAGGTGGCGTTTGCAGGCTGGTGGTCGGCCGCAGGTGCGGAGCTCCGGAGAGTGGCTTGCACCATGCACCACAGGCGATGGTGTGGCTCTGTGGTCTCGATGGTGCTCCTTATGTCTAAACGGCCCCTCTCCAAAATCAGGCCTGTGCACCTGGTTGCCATGGCCAAATTAGCAGTGGGAGGTGCCTGCCCCTAGAGGCAGGAGTTAACTGTGGAAGTCTGGATGTTGGCACTGCTGAGTGTTTTGCTTTAAAATGCTTTTTAATTGAAAATGTTCCTGGGTGTGTTTTGTTGTTTGCATCAGAAATTGCAAACTAATGAGCTTCTGCTGGTTTTGGGCTGTGGATGACCTCGGTTTGAGTGGAAAAAAATATGTCCCTGATGAGTGTGTTAAGGAAATTTAAATCAGTTGCCTACACTTAAAAACTGAAAATTTTATATAAATGCCGGGCTTTCAGTGTTTCTTGAAAAATATAGTTCATCTAGAAGCATTGGTTCTGCGTTCTCAGTGGGGGCAGCAGATAGTTGGAGCTGTACAGGTGCTACCTTTTTTTTTCCCCAGAAACCTTTTATTTAAGGAATACAAACTTCATACATTTCATAATCACAGCTTTAGGAACATAGTGATTCTTCCCACCACCATACCTGATCTCCCACCCATTCTCCCAACCTCTACTTTCTCCCTCTCCTATTCCCTTTCTTATTTTTTACTAAGATGTATTTTCAGTTAACTTTATACACATGTGATTAACTCTGTGTTAAGAATTCAACAAATAGTTTGGGGAAAAACCTGTTTCTCAACAGTTGAGAGAAGGGCTGCTCAAAGTCATTGCTTCTCCAAGTGTCCATTTCACTTCTACAGGTTACCTTTTAGGTTCTCTGTTAGCTGTCACAGGTCAGGGAGAACGGATGCTATTGGTCCTTTGGGGACTGAGTGCTCACTTTTGGAGTGGGTCATTCTGGGCAGTTTGCCACTTCTCCACGAAGTCTTCCCAACACCAAGTGCCGGTTGCTGTTTCTCGTAGTAGAATTAGGAGAAAATGGAAAAAGTTGTTTTTATCAGTGTCTCCATAGTAGTATGTGGAGTAACTAATAATATTTCCACAGAGTTTCAGATTTCAAGAAAAACAGAAGAGCACGTGTGTGTGTGTGTGTGTGCACGTGTGCACACGTGTGTGCATGCTGGAGAATACACGTGCCTGTCTCATTGGCCAACAAGTGACGCCTGTGTGTTACAGAATGCACGCTCACCCTACCTCACTCGGTCCTGAAGGTATCCAAATCTGACCCCCAATCTACACAGTGAAATCTCCCTCTGTCGTCAGGCCCATCTCGGTTCCTCTCCTTCACGCCTTCACGGTGTGCAGGATGGTCGCGTGACAGGGTTTCCTGGCTGCGGAAGTGGGGGCAGTGTGTAACTCGCACACGCGAGTGGGCTCTGGAAGTGTGTGGATTCTGTCCTCTCCAGTGGGCCCCAACCCTCCCTAGATTGAACAGGCCCAGCAGAAGGGGCCTGTAGGCAGGAGCGGGCTCTGTTCTGTGTGAATCTGATTGGTAGAGAACATGCATTTGGCCTTGTTTATGTTGCTTTCCAAGAGTAATTCTCACC